TAAGAACTCGTACAAATCACAAGACATAATCGAAAGGTAAATTTGATTAATGAAAACAGATGAAATGACTTAAAATATGCACATTCGAGAGTTGAGTGGGCAACTTTATACTCTTAAAAGTGATCGTAAGTGTGCCGTTTCAAAAGTTTAGTGAATAACCGAGTAACATCTTATTCTGCCATGGTCTCTGCCAACATTAAGCTATTAATATTTGCAATGCCCCTGGGTTTAACTTGGGCATTGAAACATTTACCAAATCATATAATACAGAATTCTTCCTGTACACTAATCGTTTATGTACAAGAAAATAAATTTAAAGTATACATGTTGTATTCTCCCCAACCAAAATTAAACATCTTGAATGAATTAGCGCATGAAACTCCCGAATGACCCCAGAAAGATTCTCTAATTTTTGGTATATTCCTATCGTCTCCGGATGAGATTTGTCACTATACACAAACTGAGAAATACAGCCATTTATCCAATCCAACTGCATGCCAATTCTTTCTTCAACTTTTGATCTTCTAAGAATTCTCTAACATGTGCTGCATTCTTCCACATTCCTCTGGCGGCATATGTATTTGATAGAAGTACATGCATTCCAACATTTTGACGTTCAAGGCTTGAAAGTTTTTTAGCAACGATATCAGCTAGTTCAAAATTTTCGTGGACTCTGCAAGAGCTGAGTAATGTTTCCCAAGCATAGACTGGGAGGTTAAGAGGCAATTGTTTCACAAGTTCATATGCTTCCACCACCAAGCCCGATCTACTGAGGAGATCAACCATAACAGCATAATGCTCTGGTTTTGGAATCAGCTTCCACCTCTGCATTGAATTGAAATATTTCCAGCCTTGACCAACGAGACCAGAATGAGCACACGCAATCAATAGTCCCAAAAAAGTCACAGAATCTGGTTCACATCCAGCTTTAATCATCAAAGACAAAAGACTAAAGGCTTCTGCAGCGGAACCATGATATGCCTGCGAGACAATCATAGCATTCCACACTACAGTGTCATGAACTTTTGTCCTGTCAAACACTGAAGTAGCATCCTCTATTAGACCACATCTAGAGTACATGGATATCAATGCACTCACTACCATCGTATCAATTTCGAAACCTGTCTTGATCAGATAAGTATGCACTAATCTACCCCAAATTTCTAGAGCAAGAGTACCACAGATTGAAAGCACAACAGTAAATGTCCCCTGATCAGGCTTAAAACCTTCTTGCAACATCTGAACATACAAAATCAAAGCTTCCTTGCTTTCATATCCGGAAATGATTATATTCCAAGTGGTTTTATCTCTTTTAGGCATCTCCATAAAAAATTTGTGTGCACTAACCATATCACCTTGTTTCACATATCCTTCAAGTATCAAGTTCCATGATACTATATCCTTTCTAGGCATCTTGACAAATAGGTCTAGAGCATCTTGAAACCTGTTACTCCGAATGTATCCTCCAATCATCGAGTTCCATGCAATGATATCCCAATAAGCCATTTCATTGAATAATTTCTCAGCTTCATCTATCTGATTGGCATCCAAGTATCCCTGAATCATCGCAGTCCAAGCCACTACATCTTTCTGAGGCATCTCATCAAACAATTGCCTACCTCTCTCCACCTCCCCAGCTCTCATCAAACTCCTAATCATATTAGTCCATGAAGCCACATCTTTCTCAACCATTGTCCTAAACAACTCAGACGAATCCTCTACATAACCCAGTTCAGCATATCCTGCCAACATAGTATTATAAACCAACAAATTTTTCTCCGGTGCTTCAACAAACAACCTCCTAGCTTCATTCACATCCCCATACTTAAAATAACCTTCAATCATAGTCGCCCACGACACACTATTCTTCGCTGGCATTACATCAAACAATGCTCTACCTTCCTCTATCCTCCCGTTACTCAAATATCCTGAAATCATTGAATTCCAACATACCACATTCTTATCACCAACTTCATCAAACAGCTTCCTCGCCTCGTCTAAATTTCCCATTTTCGCATACCCACTAAGCATGGCTGTATAAGACACCACATTTTTCCGTGGCATTGTGTTAAAAACTTGACGGGCCTCTCCAATCATTCCATTTCGGATAAATCCAGAAACCATACAGTTCCAAGTCACCACATTCTTGTGGGACATTTCATCAAACATATGGCGAGCACCTCCTATGTTACCTTGCTTAAAGCATCTGGTGATTCTTGAGTTCCATTCGAATAATGGGCTTGCACTGGAACTCAAACCACGAACCAAGCATTGATGTTTAACACATTTGAAACTAATTGATCGAGCCAACTTGTATTCTAAATACATAAAAGTATCAGACTATGCTTAATCTTGCAACAAAATTTAGCAAGAAGCATGCATGATAGTCGCAAGTCCGTTACTTAGCACAGACTGAGCAAGAGATTGGGCGGGCCGACAAAATCACATGAAATGGGGCGTTGTGTTTGGATTGGGCGGCTCTAGCAGGCAATAAAGTTAAAAGACTGGAATGAGTAGGCCTCAAGGCATGTCTTAGGCCCACCTCCCAATTGGTATTGAACCCTTTGCTAATTGTGAAACGAATCAGATGCCGCGGAAATGTCAGACCAATAAATTCTTTATCATATCTTTGCTCTCTCTTAAGATTAGATTCTAATCTAGAACGATTTGGATCTACATGGGTGCAACTTCATTCACCATGAATGAATCCATTGTAAGTTTGTGATCTTGTCAAAGATAGTCCAATATAGCCACTGGCCATTTGGTTCGGTGGTCATCACCATTAAAGGTGATGCTGGAGGTCAGGGGTTCAATCCCTGCCTCCCACAAATTTGCCACAATTTGTGGCGGTCTTAATTGACCTTCATCGATGGAGTCTGTACTCACATCGAACCCCCTCCCCTTCCCCTTAGATTAGGCTAGATTAGGTTATAGGACATCTATCGTTTCGACAAAAAAAAAAAAAAAAAAAAGATAGTCCAATATGTACTAAAGAAAAAAAAAAATTCGTAAAGGTAATGTGTATGATAAATCTCGTACATATTAAAATATTCGTCTTGTTGAAGCGAACACGTCTTATATCATGTCCTTCACGGTTGTATATTTAAAATCTTCCTATTTAGAGAAGTTCGTTATTTAGAAAAACCCTCTGTCCCATGTCTATTTTCTATTTTATCAAAATTGAAATTTTCAATGATTCTATCTATTATTCTTTATCTCGTAAATGGGATAATCTAATTATTTATTAATTTTTCTATGAATTTCTGAATGCTAACTATATTTGGTACTAATAAATTTGAGTCAAAATCAATAGAATTAAGTCTCTCAACGTTAATATAGGTTAGGTTGAAATTAAAAGGAGGAACTGTTTAATCTAGACTTCTTTAAATTTGTGCCTAATTAGTTTATATTTGCAATCAGAATTCCCTTTTTCATTTATGTTATATCCTATTATTTCCATAGAATCCTTTATGGTTAGACACACACCTCTTCTATTATATGCTTTACAAGTGGACACGCAGAATAATCATATCAAAATACGTGGTGAGCGACAATTAGCTTATACATTACCAACCACGAATCCATAATACAATAATTTTGAATTTGAATTAATTTAGGTGCCTTAATTTTTTTTAATCAACGTCGTTAGATTACATGAAACTTTGTAATTGTAATGTGATAATCCAAATTGTAGTTACAAGTAAAAGCATGAACCCGTGAACACAGTAGTTTAAACAAAGACGATATTTACCTCATCCATTTACACAACTATGAATTGGACGGCACTACTGAAAATGCAGGCAAGATTAGATATTTTTCTGATAAGCACGGACCTCAAACTCTAAATATCTACATTGGACTATCAACCTTTCAAAGCCCGAATTCTGCTCCTGATCTGACACCCCTTTCAAGCCCTGGCTTCCATGGTGTTTGAGAAAAAAAAACAAGCTAGTAAATCATAGGGAATAACAAGATTATACATGAGAATATGCAGTAGACAGGACCATGCATAGGCATAGCCATAAGATCCCCCTTGATGCTGGGCGAGGCGGAGCTCTTATGATGATGACCACGGCCATGACCTCCTACAACAACCGGGATAAATCTATTCCTCTTTCCACTACCGCCCCCTCCGCGGCTACCACCACGGCTGCCTCCACCTCGACCACCGCCACCGCCACCGCGGTGGCTAATTGCTTCTAATGCAACGGTTGAATCCAGCATGATGAGGATCGTAACCAGCAGTAATACGAGTACGATTGCCAGCCGGACACTCTTCATCATCTTCTCCCAGGCCCAGAAAAGAACCAAGTGTTCTGTTCTACATGTATAATAATTCTTCTGCAGAATCTCTACTTATTTGAGCATTTGTGAAAGTTTATATAAAAATGGAAGGGATTACCTTTCCTCTGCCAGCCATAGCCCCCACTCCACCGCCATACCCCGATAGCCCAGCCCAGCCCAGCCCACAGGAAACCGTGAAGTATATATCTTCGGTATTTGCCTCCAGTATTAATCTCCAAGTGTATGAATTCTAGGAAAGTAAAGTATCAATACATGTATTTGAGCTCGATTAAAAAAAATCACAATATAAAAGTAAGTAACTTTACAGAATGGTGTTGGAGTTTTTTTTTTTTTTTTGAATAAATCTTATACACACAGACAATATATACACTATTACTGTTTCATTCATGACATGTGTACAAAAGTTAAGTTTCAAATTTTATACACTATCAGTGTAAGAAAAATTAATCTTTTTTTTTTCCAAAAGTTCAACTATGAAAAATATTTATTCAAAAAAAATGTTAAAAATAAATTCTTTTTGTAGCATTATTATTTATTATTTAATTCTGTTCCGATCTCAGCTTCTTGTTTCTGATTTAACCTGGTGCTACTCTACTCCCTTTCTTTTCTGTCTAGTCAAGAATCTCGTAATCTGTAATTTTGCGTTTGTCAAATAAGGATCCTTGATTTTTATTCTATTTACTCACCTCTAACTGTTTATACAATTCGTCATCGTTTATATCAATTCGAGAATAAAAATGGCCTTCATGTCATCATCGATTCACTTACAAGAATAGAGCAAAAAATCCGAACCAAAAGGCCTTCTTGCATCACCATCCTCATCCTCGCTATAGACTCAGAACAGGGGAAGAGTTATGGCAAAACTTGGCTCCCAAATTCTACTGTTTACAGGATCTATTGGGTTTTTTTGGGTTTTGGGAAGGGTGAAAAAATTTCCACGGAAATTGATAGATACATGCAGCTCAGAACCTAAACAAAATATATATTACAATCTCCGGAAACAGACATTGCAGGCTAAGTACCAATTGTGGTTGTGTCCAAGTAAAAATTAGAATACTTCATTCACGCTCGCCAAATTGTTCCTAGAAAGGTTGGGTGCGTTCAATCCTCTTTGTATATAAGCGTTGGGTAATCTGGACTCCACATATTGGTTTCAACATAATTTGCAATTTCTTCCTGCAAATTGGGGAGAAACATAAGTAAAGAAATCATAGTTAGTAAACGGCTGATTTTGTACAGACAAACCGTACTTGATACATATGGAAGTTCACTGGGAGACTGAATTCGACCATAGACAAAGTTGTGTAAAGAACACAACCTAATCAACTAACATGTCTCATTCACACTTTGGTTATAAAAATTCCTACAGCCACTCAGTGGCCAGAAAAAGTTATCTTAAACTCGTATTATGCTTCATATATTCAGCAAACTAGATTTTATGACTAGCTTTCGCAAGATCTCCAGTAATCATGTACAAAGACATTAATTGTACCAGCTATGATTCAATAGGTTATGCATACAAGATAGCCGTTATGAGCCATATAGAAGCTCATGTTGCCCCAAGACCTACAAGCATTTCAAGCAGGTCTGCTGTTTTAAATGTGTAGAAAAAGCAATGGTGAAGAAGATCAGCATTACTGGAAGATACCTGATTAAGTTTCCTTAGTTCATGGCTGTCCATTTCACGATATCCTTCTGCCAGATCCTCTGCTACAGCTTCCTTAATGACAGCTGCAGCTACCTCCTTGGTTATATCTCGTATCCTGCATGCAGGAATCATATCAACACTGTACCTCCCTTGATATAGGAACTACTAGCTGAAGCAAATTGCAATCTGATCACTAAAAACCTATCCTTACTTGGATATTGGAGGGTATATGATCCCGTTGAGCACCTCCTCCTCTGTCATATATGCTGCTAGACTGTAATTTTCAATTCAATGTCAGAAAGGTTATAATTCCCTATTGCCAGCAGAAAACATCTATTCTAAATTCATGCAAGTCATACATGATTCTGCCTTGTTCAAAAACTAAAATTTTCGGTCTATTCGTTATTGGCTGCTGAACAGCAAATGAGTGTCCAGATTTCCTGCCATTCTTGAATCTATGAAGAAGTATCTAGACATTATCTCTTAACAAGAAACAACAGGATTATTTTCTTTCGAATTTGTAAGCTTCGGAACCACAGTGTTCTATTACTTTAACAAAGCTTACAGATTCTCCAAATAGAAACAAGTAAACCACATAAGACGGCTGTACACATTTTGTTTCTTAAACAAAAGAAAGCACACTGTTGAATGGCCCCATTGACATGTAGGTCTAATCATTGGAATCTGTCAGTGAATTTGGATATCATGATGGTTTCAGAGGTAAACTTAATTATTTCTTAGTCCAGATAAAATATACAGGAAATACCATTCAGCAGCTGCTTGTAGCATGCCATCTGATATGATTCTAGACCCGGATAGAAGAGTACCCAGTCCTATCCTGTGAACTCAAATGCAACATTCAAGATATAGATCAAAATATAAAAGATCAGATAAACTCTTACTTTGTATGTCCAAGGTTTAGCCTCTTACCCAGGAAAAAGGTACATGTTGTTTCCTTGATTGCAGTGCCCAATACGACCGCCTCCTATTCATCGAGACATGGTTCAGAATGCATTTACAGACCAGATGTCTTGATACATACATTTAAATAAGACAGAATGAGAATAATTAAAATCCGTAGGAATTGTTTAACAGATCAACTTGCAGCTCTTTCTTTGGACACAAAATTCTTGGCCTTGGAAGAAGCATCTTCTCTTTTATTTGAACAGAGTTTCCCAAAAGGAGAAGAGCATATGCTTTCATATATGTCAAAATTTGGGAGGTTCTGACGTGTTTTCCTCCAGAAAGCTAATCAAGCAAACAGCATAAGATTTTAACACCAAGAAATTACCAGTGGAACCCAAAAAAGGTGAACTATGCAGTGTCATGGACATTAGTGAGATCTGATGTAGCTATCATGGAGTAAGATGAATGCTGTCAGATATCGATCGGAATCATGGAAATTAGTGTTCATGGGTAAACGAGGGTATGATGAGTGAGGTTGAGTTGTAGGAAAGATAGAAGACTGACAGCCTTGTGTCATTGATAATGCTAATCTGGTAGTTAATTGTATTTTTGTCATGCATCTAACTGTTAATCTTGTCTAGCTTCTTCCAGCTTAAATGGTTTTTGGATACTTAAAATTAAAAAATGAAAGAAAATCCAATGCCTAATATAAAAGCATTAGGCACAAGACATACCCAGTTCAACATTTTTAAACGGACTGCCACTTGCAAATATAATGTTGTCACCGACGATAGAATATGCTTCCTCAGGAGTGCATTCAGCTAGAAAAATTCAAAAAGTCAAAAACAAATTATAGAGGCTCTTCGTACACAATGCTCAAATCTTTTCTCTGCTTCGTGAAGAAGATACCGTTGGTAGTTGGATTTGACATTGGGAAAATAGCCGGCCTCGTAGAAGTTGAATCTTTGAGGGCTTCCAACACCTGAAGACAGAAAAGTATTTCCAATCACTTATAAATATTGTTAAAGGAAAGTCTTTTTGGATGATCCTCACGTCATCAAGCTTGCTTTGTTCTCATCAAGAGCATAAAACATATGGGAAAAGTTAAACAAATAGAAGAGTACTTACAGCTGGTATTATTTATGTGGACTAAAGCCAAGGAAAAACAGGACAAGCCTTTATTACAAAGGCAAAGCTAGTTTCGCATTGATTGAATGTAGGAAAGCAGACGAAAAAGAACCATATAGCTAACCAATTACTATACAATTGTATAGGCATTGGTTAACATAGAAGCACATGAATACAAGTAAAAGAAGATGGACATGAACCACATCAATCTCAGAAAGTTGAGAATTCTTTTGAAGTTTCAGACTGCAATACTAACTTATAGATTGCAGCAATTCTAACAAAAACACAACCCTTGACCATTAATGAGTAAATTGCAGTGCTATGTTAACTTGAATTACAAAGCAGTACCATCTTTATTGAAGTTGTCCATTGATATGGAGGAAAATATGGTTTATGACAGAAGAGAAAAATTTATCGGCCACTTCCAACTTAATATCTAAGTCAGCACTCAACTTCAGTTTCTCATACAGAGGAAAAACTCTCTATATTGATTATGCAACAAAGGCATACCTCTTTAGAGAACAGGCCCCCAACAGCAGATAAACCAAGAAGTACATCTGGCTTAACTTGACGGACCTGTTAGTAATAAAATGAAGCTCATGACCAAAATCACATGCCAATAAAGGAAACCTGAAGATGTAATTTCACAATTAAAAAATGTTAACGCTTAGATCACATAGCAAAGTAGATTTGACTCGAATCCTGGACCCGATATTAAATTATGCTGTCATATGAACAGGTAAAGTGGGTGTTAACAAATGCTTGCAAGTTCGCTGATCTTCTTTTTTTAAGCGCCTAGCTGTGATATCCTACAACAAACAATTTTGAAAGATGTGCAGCTTAAATTCCCAAACAAATTAACAGAAAACTCAGAAGGAAAGGGAGAAAAGGGGAAGGGGAAGAGAGAGAGGGAGAGAGAGAAAGCTTTGGAATTCAAATTGCAGGCTGAACACAGATGGTGGTTTATTCATATTAACAGCAGTCAGAGGTCCATAAAACGCACACACACACACACACAAAAGAACTACATTGAGTTACTAAAATTTGGAAATTTTAATATGAATAAATTATAGCATGTTGACATGAAGCAAATTAGTGTTTCATTCATGAGCACATGTAACACACACAACTTTGCAGAAAAGAAGTCTTACAAGTATAGGTCATTAATAATTGGTTGTCATGATCTTCCTGGCATGTATTCAAGGGCTAAAATAAACTGCAGCAGTTATTTATTTTTATCATAAACATCCCATGACTCCCCAAAGTATAGGGGAATAAAGTAACCATGAGACAACAACCATCTGCATAATTTTCCAACTATTCTAGCCAAACTCACTCGTGAAATCCTTCAAGAAACAGAATGAAGGCCATACAGGCAGTTCTCATCTTAAATATTTTTGCTCTCTCAGATTAGTTTCATTGAGTATTTAATTATCAAACCTAGACACGTGGGATGTTTGAGAAACTTAGTTTGCACATTCAAATACATACTTGTGTTAGTAGAATTTGATTTCTTAGATATACTGCAAATAGAAGAAGGCAGTGCATAGCTTAGGGAAGTCCTTGAGTAACAACATGGAAACCAATCGATTGTAAAAGCAGAAAAAATGTAAAGATTTGCAATATTAAGCATTCACATCTGTGAAAGGTCAAAACATTCACTGACCACTTCTGCAAGACTTGCTCCTTCCTTAAGCCCTTGACGGTCAGCTTCTTTTACCTTCCATGCAAATCGGCGAGCCTCTGGATCAATACTGTCACGTGCCTCAGTTAACAGTCCCTAAACTCACAAAATGGATGTGTAAACTATTTAGTCATATCTTTCAGTGCTTCGAAATAGTAGAAGTCAACATCAACTTCATTTACGAATCGTTCACAACATGATACTGTTCAGTATGAACATGCAACTATTCCAAATAAAGACAGCTGATAACTTGTACAGATCCTGATAAAGAGCAAAACTAATAAGTTGAACCATGCAAATGTTGTTCCGCGCAAATCAATGCTACCTACAAAAATACTACCTTCAAAACCAAAATAAACAGCCAACTGTTCCAACTATCAGGTTGCTAAAAAAGCAGTATAATCAATGAAACAATTCTTTGTATTTAGTAAAAAAAGTCGCATGAGAGCAGTCAACATGATAGAAGGGCTACAAAAGTTGTAGTAGAATGCCAATTATTCACAGTCTGAGTAGTATTAGTGGTTCTTTGCATTGACTCCATCCAAAATAAAACCGCAATCTCAGACGGGAATTCTTAACTTCTGATGTAGAAAATGAGAACATTATACCTCAGACCAAGTCCCACCCGATTCTAGACCATGACCAGCTGGGATTTGTCCAAATTTGCGGTGAATCATCAAGTAAAAGCCAAGACAGGTTAATGCAGTAAATATGACACATTCTTTTTTAAAATGACTTTGGATTTAATAATACTTTGATTTTCCAATACAGAATCCAAAAGCTTTAGATAACACCCTTTACCTAAGTAGTAGTACAGAAACTGACGCGTGATTTTTCATAAAAGATAAGGTATAAGTAGGATAATCCATTGAACTTATAGATGATGTAATTAACCTTTTAATCACTTTTGGACACTAAGAACATGTTCTATATAATCTGTAATTCAAAACAGATTTTTCAAGCAGCCTCTCCAGCAAAACTGAGAGCTGGGTAAATTAAATTAGTTACTTCATTAGAATAGAACATTGTAATAGAAAGCAATCTCCCCACATTAAGAAAGTGTATTGTAACTTAAAATCAGAAGGATTGATCAAACATTAGCAGACACTGAGAAGAACAGAGCATTGAATGAGATTACTCACATTGGCGTCAACCACCCAAAATTGACTCCTAGCACTTTCAAAAGCAACTTCAGTGTTTCCTAACATTCTTGCCATGGTCTTCCTAGCAGCATTAAGAACTCCTATTCCTGCACTGCATTCATAGAAAACAATTCAGGCATACTTAACAATGTTTACCCTAGCGTGCTATATTTCCTGGACTAATATCCTCCTCCCTAGGAAAAGTTCTTGGTCTGCATATTTGACTTCATCACACTACATTCCCTAAAATGACAATCCATGCTATAGTTAACCAACTAAATATGCAAGTCCGAAACTGTATATATCCTTGTACAAATGAACAGGGAGAACAATGAATAGCAAAACAGCATATGTGAACTACAATGTTATCAAGGCATGACTCAACCTCCCTCTACCAAGGCATGAAAGAGAAAGAAAAGAAACAAAAAGAAAGGAAGACAAAGAAAAGGAAACTGAAAATTACTAGAAAACCTCACCTTCCAGCACCAGCAACTACAATCTTCATCTTAGGAAAATCAATCATTGGCCTCCCTTGTGCTCTTACAGCCCCTAAAAGACCAGCAATTGCAACTCCAGCTGTACCCTGTAAGTGATTGAGATTTTTCACGTCCATGCAATTTACTTTGATGTTCAATGCACCTTAGACAACTTTTGATGTGCAACTGATCTCATTCACTAGCATTAGGCCAAATCCCAAATCATATACTATTTCCAACGTCAGCTATGTTTTAGCCAATCAAGTATACCCAGTAATAAAAAACTTTTGCTAAAGGAAGTGATAGAAGTCAGTTAATAGAGTACTTGGATCAAGCAACTTCACAAATTTAGATTTCTGATACTCTAAAGAAATCTGGAAACTCAAGTCTATGATAGGTTCACAGTTGAAAAATCAATCAACAAACCCAACTCAAAGGGCATTCTATCTCAGAGAGACTTCCACTTGGCATCTGGTATGTAAATTTACCCTTTCATCACCTACACATTTCCCCTTTCCCAGACCACCATTATTCATTTCTAATGTCCAACTTCTCCTTGGCTCATGTTTCTCCTTTCAGAAAGCTGGTAATGAATTAAGGGGAGCTTCATCTTTTCCTTTTTTTTTCCTTCTCAACAAATAATGCCTGCAATATATCTCAAGGTCCTGAATTGTGTTGTTCTACCATGTAAATCATATTTTCTTCTGCAGTACAATGCTATTATCCTTTGTACAAACATACATTTTTAGTTAGTATGCCATGTCATATTAGTCAGAGAAATTTTACCTGAACATCATCATTGAACATTCTGTAATCGTTCCTGTAACGCTGCAACAGCTTAAAGGCCCACTTGCTTTGAAAATCTTCAAACTGCAACAATGCAAAATGCTTTCAACATTTTGTTAAGAGCAAGGGAAAATGATGACAATGGCAACAAAAATCTTGACATCCTCATTTCTTGTAAGAGCTCAACATGAAGATCCTCAACATTTGGTTAAATCAATATAACTACAACAAACTTGATGAAATACCTGCACAATGACGTGGGGCCAACGAGTGAAGACAGCATTCATGAATTCATCTATGACTGCAAGGTATTCATCTCCTTCAAGGCGATGCTGCTGTATTCCCAAGTCTATAGACATGAAATGTAACACATATTGACCAAAAAGTCACGAAAAAAAAGGGCAAATAGGTGAACCCCTAGCTCCACATTACTGGATTCAAGACATGAAATGACTTAGAGGAAATTACAAGATTTGAAGAAAGAACTTGTAGGATACAGTTATGAAAGATGGACTTTCAACCTTGATTAAGATTATAATAAATATACTCTTCTACAGAAAGCAGACATCAATAACTTAATCTGAACATCCACATTAGAGCAGCCTTAATAGCAGCACAAAAATTAAGCAATCAAAATGGCATCATGAAAACAGGTAGACTGGATTGCACAGTGCAGTTTGAGCAAGAAAACCATGCTAAGCAATAAGGGAAAGAGAAAAATGTAAGAAGCATGGCAAGTTAGCTAATTGGTTACTTTGTAAGTATCATAGAGATCTCAATTTGGCCGTTGCTATATCAAAAACTGCATTTTGACAGTTTTATGTCCCCATTGTGTACCCATTTAGTCCTTAATCTCAAATTAACAATAAAAAAGCAACTTCTAATAATTGTGGAAGCTCACAAATTACTATACTGATGGCTATATAACAACAAAAACCAAGGATAAAACCTATTTATATCAAGAGCTGAGGTACGATTTATGATCCACTGACACAGTTAAAACAATGCATGTATTATTGTAAGCATGCAAAACCATATAGAATTCTTTTATAAGAAAAGAACCTTGTTGGATGCTCCAATCTAGACTCAGCATTTAAAGAAACTCAGAAACTCTAAGGATTATCAATGGAGCAATGTAAAAAGTTCATGCTCAAAACACATATAACTGAAGTCTTTAGAAATTTGTATTGTATCCAGTAAAGCTCTATAGACTAACACAAATATGGCTTAAGCTTCATGGATCACCACCTTTTAACGATAGGAAAGCTACTCTTAATCTTTTCTAGAGATAATGACAAAATCACTAATCCAAGTTCCTTTTGGTTCCAATGTTCCAAGAGTCACACAAAGTGAAAAGGGTCACAAGCAATAAAATAATGGACAGTAGCTTAATCCAAATGTAGGAGAAGAACACACTTACACAAAGGATCATGAAGAAGCTTCTCATTGTTAGTTCCTACATCAATCATAACTGGAAGCACCTATAGGGGGTCAAATAGAAGCACATGTAAGTATTGGTCAACTTGCGAATATATAACATGAACTTCAGTTTACAGCATAAACTAGAGCAAAAGTTGAAAATTTCAGGAAACAACACAAGATGGTCAACGAACTCTCTCCTAAAGGCATTTGATGGCGTGTGAAAGGCAACTCCAGCAAAAGTGCAGACAATGAATTTGAGAAGACCAAGGATAAGATTGAAGAAAGTCAGCATAAAACTGATACAGAAGTCTTAAAGTCACTACTCTCTTGATTTAATTCTAGACATTCAGCAGTTATAATCTCATTGCTAATGTCATATTTCACCTTTTTTGCTACAGCAAAATTAGAGCTGCACTAAATTTTGTTTCTTTTATACTATTACCTTTAAATGAGTCTTGAAAAGATGTTAGATTACTTTATGTGGGGCACATGTAAAAATTTTTTAATCTACAATATAGTGAGCGCATAACAATCCTGTTATGTGGGTAGGCACATCTGCGTCACTCCAACTACACCAAAACGAGTCCGAAGTTTCATTCCGCCAATACATGAAATGAGACCTCAAGGCAACCATTTCCTCAAATCAAAATGACTAGTTATCATTGGGCATGAGGGCAAGCTGGAATAACTCAAAAGCAACATTGTGGCATTTTAATAAAAGGTAGGAGTTCCTATAAGTGAGTTTAATATCCAAAAGAGGGAGTGGCATAAACTTTAGAATAGTCAAGACAAAAAAAAAATTGAGCTTCTATATGAGTAGGCTATACAGCAGGTGAATACCCTCTTGTTTGCTCGTAAGATTTCAGCATTAAGATTTGAAGTTCCTGTTCAAGTAATGCAAAACCTTCTTTAACATTATGAGAGAATTTTAAAAAACTAAACTGTTTACTCTATTGCTCGTCATGACACTTTTTCCATTTGTTATGTCAATGAGTCCTAGTCATGAAATCTTAAAAGCTTATCCAACAACAGAATGAAGAAATAGCAGCAGCATCATGTCCCAATTCATTTGATAATCCACAAATCCAATGCAGTCATCAAATACAGCTGGATACATAAGAGTAAGAAAATACTCTCTGAGGGTTTATTCCAGCAGCAGCAACATAAAGATCCAGCTTCCCTATTGCAATTGCAATTCCCTGAACTCCAAGATCTCCAAGACCTAAAATCCTGCTTCCATCAGTGACAACAATCATATCAACCTGCAGCAAAAGATCACACATCAGTACATTTTAACTTTTACTTAAACTAAATCACAAACAAGATTTTACTGAAAACTACATGAGCAAAGTTTCACAAAATACTACTGAAGCTTCATAATTCCTGAATTTGGTCCACTAATTTCAAGGTTTACAAAATATTGGTAATGGCAATTCAACAAAATAAATTCATGCCAGAATATAAAAACTTCCCAATGGATTAGATATCCAGAAGTGCTACAAACCTGGTCAGAAGGCCAATTATATACCATTGACATCATTTCTCCACGATCTTCTGAACTGAAGTACATTCCTCTTGGTCGTCTAAATAATCCACTATACTTCTGGCACACCAGACCTACAGTAGGGGTGTAAACTACAGGTGCATATTCCTCAATGTTGTCAATTAAAACCTGTCAACATCATTTAAAATCTCTGGTTCAACATGTGCAGCATTGAAATGAGCTACGAATATGAATCCAAATTGCCTCTGGAAAATTCAAATGTCAACAATCAGCAAAATGCCTTGGCACAACAGAAAATGGAAAATTATAGTAGAGAAATTGCATAATTCCAAGTGAAGAAGGTTTGTGAAAGCTCCAATCATATATGTCCAGCACAAAACCAAGAAAGAGCTAGTCATCAGCCAAAACTAAGTTGTCACTATGACACAGCTGTTACAATTGCAATTAAAATAGATGCTGTTGGAGTTGAATTGTTGATTCAAGCTATTGCACGTGGCAAAGATTTCACACTTGATTAGATGAGCAAACAGGTCCTAATAAAAAAAGATATGCTCAAAGAAAAGAAAACAAGAAAAAAAGGAAATTCCAGAGTGTACAACTGCTCTGGTTTTCCTTTATTACCAATATTTGCCATCTCTATATCCTCATACGTTTTGAATTTATTGAAATACCTAGATTTAAAGTATATCTTGGATAAAATTCAACTCTAACAGATCAAACCAACAAGTCGAGTCCAGAGTTAGTAACCTCGCATCTTATTTGAAAAAATTCAAGCAAGATAAATAGAAAGCAGTACTATAAGCACCAACCTTGTAATACATAGTCTCATTTCTGTCATGCAAGCGGTTGAGAATGCGCCACTTGGCCAAAGCATTTGGATCAAATGGTCCATCTCTAGCATTGACTTGAAGTCTTTTGAGGTCAGCCACTGTTGTCCAAGAAGAAATCAGAAATAATACAAGCCTAGATAATTATTTATTATAAGGCAACATTAAAAAAATTAAGCATCTTTATCTCAATTTTAAAACCTAAAACAAGATAAAGCTCTATTAAGTTAGAGAAGCAACTAAAAATCTAGGAGAGACAACCATAAAAAACAACACTTTTCACTTTTCAGCAACACAATAGAAGTTTCAGAATCTACTGGATATCCGAGAATGTTAAAATGCAAAGGGGTAACAACTTATAATACAGAACTTGTCTGATTTTGAAAGGTCAAGTGACTTTACGTGGCATAAAAAATGCTGGTAGCCTAAAAGGAAGTCAAATTCTCACTAGGATGGCTAAAGCATATTGAGACTAAATAACAAAATTTAATAACAAATATTAAAAGAACCATAGCCCTCTGTTTTGTAATATCTGATCCTAAACTACCTAAGTTGAAAACCGACTTTCTTCTTGCCTGAAACTTAAAGTTCAAGAACATCTCAATCTTAACAACTGAGTAATTAATCTGATTTACTTAGTTCCCACGAATTTTCTACACAAAACTAATCAATTACTTCCTGTTGGGATGGAAATCCTGTATTATCCATTTGCATATGAAATATCACTCGATTAAGACTTACTGAAGCGCTGAATTTGCTGTTCAGAAGACATAACAGTTGGAGGCAAAAGCCCACGAAGGTTAAGGCGATCACGTTCTGTCATTGAGAATGCTGTTCCCTAGCATTTGAAACACGACTATGTAAGAAGCTAAAACTATGCACTCTTTACTCACTTCAGAATTCAAAGAGCATAAACTCCCAGATCTAAAGCAAGGAATTAATTCTTCATACACCTTGAGAAAATCAAACCTTGGACCACGAAGAGCCACATCTTGTATTCAACAACATGCAACTATTGAAGACTTGAACCATGTACAAGTGTCAAGAGACATTCTATGTTAAATAAGAGTCTGTAGAGGATCATAATAGAAATGAGAAATGTGCATCATATCTCTACTCCATATGAAATTGGAGCACTAGTATGTCTTCCAATGTGTTAAAACCAACAACTGAACAACTGGTTTGAGTTCCCTTCCCATTTTTCAAGCAACTTTCTTCCTACTCCGAGTCACTTCTCATGGTTCAAGAGTTTCCGATGCAATTATAAACATTAATAAAGGCTTTCCAAACCCAAAGATTTGTCAAAATTTACTTGCCAACAAATCTCATTTGCCCAAGATTACCACATTTTAAGATAAATATTATACTTCCACAAGGACAACTCAATTAAGAATTATAACTCAAGAGTTCAGTTAGCATTCAGCAATTCATGCTATTATGTAAACTTTAGATAACCATTTGACAGATGTAACTCATCGTAAAAGCTCCTTTTCCCTACTTTCGAAAGGACAATCCAAAACTAAGACTTTGCTCGGAATTTTGAGTAAGCATCTAGCCAAGTATAAAAACTTCAAATAAGCCAATGGCAGTATACTCCAATATACCCCAAAGAGGGGAAAAAAGATGGCCAAGCTAGAGTTGAGTCATGCACAATTGAGTTATGGAGATTCTTTCGTGCAAGTGTACAACCACTTCTACTGTTGAAGCATATCCTTACAATCTGCAACTGCTCACAGTCTTCGGCTGCTGCCAGAAGCTCATTCTCAATCCAGCAAATCATAAATAATTGAAGCACACGAAGGTCGAAAAATTCAAATGTTTCTCAGCATAGTTAAGCATTTATAAATAAAGCTCTTAGCTTCACAACTAGAATCACTAGTAAATCTGCGAAAATTAAGAAACAAACCAAGAGAAAAAAAAGCAAAACAGATAAGATCCTTCGTCTAACCTTGTTGAACCATGGATCGTGAAGAATGTCGAGACTGCGTTTATGAACAAGGGTCGGACGATGCCCTTCCGTCGTGGTAAAAGATCTACACACGTTCTTCGAATTTACCGCGATAACATTTTGTTGCAAACGCTTCAACAGCGTTGATGATAACCTCAATTTACGCGAAAAGTTCGACATTTTCGATCAGAAAACCAAGCTAAAACTACGTGTGCAAGGTCTTAAACCCTAATTCCGGTCCGTGGAAAGTTGGAAATTTACGACAGCGGTCTAGAAGAAGAAATATGAGCAGAAAACGAGTGTCAGAAAGAAAGTTTGAGCTCTGAAGAGTGGTGTGGCTCTGACGAGCTCGGCTGCCCCGCAGTGGGGTGTTGTACGCTGTGCCTGAATCGTTGGACACTTTACAGGGGATTTGATTTGATTTTTTTTTGTCGTTGAATTGTTAGGGAATGAAGTCAACGGACGCGCATTGTCGTCATTGGTCAGTCACTTTGGTTGTTCGAGCCGCGCGACAGCGGACCGCGAGCAGGATCGCGAACTTGATCAACACCGAATATGAATCGGATTGGAGCTCGCCAAGTTGAGGTCAAATTCAAACTCGAATTTAAAGGGACTTAATTCGTTAATTCGCAAATAGATTCAATTATAAATATATATATATTTTTTAAAATATTAAAATTATATATATATTTTTAATAATTTATTATTTATTTTGAAAAATTACAATGTTATTCTTTTTTTAAAAATAAAATAATTATTTTTTATTTATTTATGCTCAAGCTCGAGATTGATAAATTTAAATTGAGAATCGATTCGATTTGGCTAAAATTCGATTTGACTCGACTTGTTTCTAGCCCTAGATTGAGGTAACTAATTTCGCAATTGATAGGAATATTTTACAAGCACAAGTTAAAAAAAAAAGTTTTCACAAGCACAGTCAAATTGCTAAACAAAGATAAACCATTTTTTACTAGATTTTTTTCAATCTTTTAGTTCTTTTTAGACCACGGATAATTTACGGAAAAAAGGAGCATTTGAAGACTAGTTAGTAAATGCTCTTATTATACCTGTATAATACATGTTAATATGTATAAATAAAAAAATTTATATTTTATATATTTTAAAATTATTCTGGAATCCAAATATTCATACTTTTTAATTAATCGTATAAAACACGTAATAAACTTTTGACGTATTATACTTCACGAATTATTCTTCACAAATAATTTTGAAAAAAAATTTAAAAATTTGAATAAGATCAATGACCTATCTTCTAATTTTAATTGTATTTTTAGTTTCACAACTTTCAAATATATTCGTACACAAATTTATATGTCTAATTTTGTGAATACTTCTTTTTGCGCCAAATTTTTAATCGTACTTTTCTAAAAAAAAATTCTTATCATATTTTGTATCATACTTGTCTTGTGCTTTTATTAACAGTGGTTTGCAGTCATAACAAGTGAAGATGACACTTTTTTTTTGGGTTACAAATGCTCATGTGGTTAAATATGGCTTCTTTGTTGAGCTACATCTTTGAAAATTCAAAAAAAAAGACACTCTTTTCAACCGTTCTTTCTAAAGGATTTTTGCACGAACACAATTTACTAAGGAAATAATAACGTAATGAACATACAATTTGTAGATAAATCAACATAAGTGACCTCTATAACAAATCTTCATAAAAAAAAAGTATCCTCTTTCTCTCCAAATAAAGCTCAGTGGATTTCTTTTATTAATTTTGTGTTGACGTTTGGACACTAGATTATTTGAGATAGTTTTTTTAAAAAAAACATCGTGGCACTTTTTGAATATAATATATATAAAATAAAAAAATGATTAAGAAATATGCTGATGATGCAATTATATAACATGTTGCAAGTAAGCCACCATCCAAACAAAGCCGAATTCGAAGTTTCTGTAAATGTTATTTGTTCTCTTGCCGAAACAAGAGTTGAAGGACTCCGAATCTAGGGATAAGCAATGTGCATTACGTCAGCAAACAAACCCAGAAAAGAATTACTCCTAATCACAAGATCAACAACAACCTTTGCTAACAAATCCTGACGAAAAATTTTCCCTCGCTTTGGAAATATTCAATGTGCATTCTTCTGGGTGTCATGATAGGCACAGCACCATGAAGTAATAAATTAATTTGTTTGGATAGAGATTTATTAGCCAAAATTTATTTGCTTACATCATCATTACAATTTTCAACGCACTTTTTTATCTTCCCAATTACCTTTTTATCTCACAGACATCACATCACAAAAAGTGCTACAGTAAAAATATCTCAAATAATTTACAATCCAAACAGAGTTTCCAGGCCCAGGCCCAGGCCCAGTTGGGATGCTAACAAACGTTAGGCCTGCCCTTCTGTGGGCCTTTAGATCAATCAAATGATAGATGGTGAATGCGTCGGTTTGAAAATAAATGAATTATTAATCGTAAAATATTATTTTCAATAAACTTAAATGTAATCAAACTAGACGAGGGATTGGACTTTTTTTGTCCTTATATCAAAGTCAAGTCTTGTTTGATAATCTCATTCAACACTCAAAGTTAATGGATTCAGATTTTAATATGTTCAATTGCGTTTGATAGCTAAAAATTAAACATTTGAATTAATTAAGTCATACTGAATTTTTTAGACAAAATTTGTTCTCAAATTATTCACTTGTCCTTAATGTGATGTACAATTAAATGTATCAAATTTAGTATTTGACAATTCAATAATTTAATGAATTTATATTTCAAATTTCAATTTTATCAAACGCACCCTGAATTAACTTAAGGTTAAGCAAGAAAATTCGGATTTGACCAAAATTTTCTCGTTTTTATTTATCATAAACCGAAGGAATATTTCATTCCTTCCCTACGCTTGATAACTATATGAATTTATTCCGGGTGAATAAGCAAGACAAGGCCTTATGCTTTGCACAAAATGCTTTTACGACTACAATCACAATCTTTTGGCAATTATTCAAATAAATTGCCAATTTAGACTTTTTATTGAAAAAAAATCACTTTTCGTCATAAGACAATTTAAAGATCTAACAAGCCTTAAGAAATGGGTCTAAATTGTGAAGTAAAAAACTAGCCCTGAGTTCTCTTCAATAGTTGAAAATACTAGGATTGCATTTTCCTTGATCATATCTTTTTCCTCATACAAAAACAGAAAAGAAATTAATGACTAATCTTTTCATTAGTCTAAACCAAAAGAAGCTTCTACCATAGTTCATAAAACGTTGTATATATTTCATATCAAATTTTTAGGTTGGTCCTACTCTTTCCATCTTTCGTTGTCTTAGCTTAAGAAAGACAGCCAGAAGATTCTTCCATCTTTGCTTACTAATTAATTCAATCTAACCTTAACTTTATCCAATTTGTCCGCATTGGAGAATGACAGATTACTAACTCAGCTTCCATTTTAGTTTAAGCTGTTTAGTGAGCCAACATTTTATTAGTCTTGTCCACCTAAAAAATTTGCATATTTCTAATAATTAGAACTCATTCATATGCAAAAAATAGAAAAAAAAATCAATAAAGTGAAAGTTTTGGATAAATACTAGTATCCTATTATTGTGAAATTCGTAACAAAGAAAAAAGGTCCTTTTTCATTTCTTAAAAAAAAAAAAAACATTTCCATGAAAAGTTTACGGTCTAGAAGCACATTTGATCAAAACCCTTTTTGGATAATCCAGAATATAATCGAAACAATGTGGGTAATATTTGAACCTAGCTATTCAAGCTCCATTCATTGAGGGTTTGTTTAGGATTAGTTATTAAATAAGCTTGATTATAATTTGACATTCAATTGCTTGGTAGAAGCAGCTCTACCCTTCTTGAATATCATAAAACGTGGTGATTTTGTCTTAGAAAGATAATTAATTTTTTGATAAATCCAAATCTCAAGTCAATGAAAGCTTGTTCAAGTAAGAGAGCAATACAATGACTCAAATTATCAATACAATAGAATAGACATCCAACTATAGAGAACCGTAGTGATTGGAAGGTCCTATACCCATCTACCGGAAATATATAAATATAAATGTCATTAATCACCATTTAAACCAACCATACATTGCATCTCTTATGCTTGGAAATTATTTTGTTATAAACTATTTTCTTCCGTCTTCCGTGAATCACGGCTGCAACAAGAGAGAAAGTCGACCGAGCCCTAGGTTCCAAACAATTGACTGAATTGAGATAGTCTTGCTACTAAGATAGTGGCAACTTAGTGCGATTCCTAAAATTATGCTAAGTGTCCAGTTAATTTAAATTATCACTTGATATTTAATTTTAATTTAAATTAATTGAACACTTGGCATTCGATGAACGAGCGGCATCGAGTTGTCACTGGTTAAGTGGCACCGAGAATTTGATTTGGGTTCCAATCTGGAATTATCCCTCATAAATTCTACCATAAATAGATAAATCAATTACTACCATGGAAAATGGTAGTGATGGAGCTGATGGTGACTGAAATTAGTATAAGAATAAATGTAACAGCAAGACAATTGATGCATATCATGCAAGCTAGTGCTATACGGCTATACCAAACCACATCTATAAACACCAAATTGGTGCTGTATATAAGTGCTTATTTTAGTTCTTCCTATCACTCTCGTGGAAAGGGCCCTTTGGAATTTGGTATTTTGTGTCCCAACACTTACTGAGGAAGCAGGACATTATGGAAGAGTGAGTGCTTGTGTGTGTGTGTCTGTGTTGCAGTGGAGGTCTGCGGTAGTCTGTGTTGTAGACACAGAAATTAATTGCATAGGAAGTCTTAAATGCATGCTCAAACGCCCTTTGCAAAAAATAAATTAGACTCTTGCGTCCATCTTTTTGAGCATGATATTGTTGGCTAATCGACATGACTTTTTTTTTTTTTTTAAAGTAAAACATCATAATTTTATTAAAATTTGCATTGATGGCAAAAGTCATATCATCAAACATTATAAATATCAAAGAACGGATCTGAAAAATACTACATATCTAAAAAATAGATGATAAAAATTACACTGTGAATCTCCAAAAATTATTTTGAAAATGAGATAAAATAATTATAACCCCACAAACATCCGTGCATGTTTCCATCTTTTTGTGCATGATATTATTGGCCAATGGCCATGACTTGTATACTTTATTTTAATGACCAGGGCTTACATATCCTCCTAAAGGTAGCTGCAATTGAAACTATTGTATCTGTATCCCAATTATACTGGCAATATTCGGGACACAAAGGGGTAGGAGATAGTCAAAGTTTTGCAGTTCAGTAAACACGTAATGACACCTTATGTTTTCTTGTGTTCATTAACAATTGATCGAGTACAAATTGCAAATTCCCAATCTAATTAATGTGGGCAAATTTATAGCGTATGAGCAGTTATCAATTTGCTCATTCACAAGTTAGGTAACATCTCAC